AAAGATTATTCTTATCTCTTTGGTTGATATCATCACACAACATTTTTGTAATAATTACAGATATCCAATAGCTAAACAATACAATAATGATAATTTTATTATATTATTATATATTATATTAATATGAATTTTAAGTTAATACAAAAAGAGATACAACTCGAACAACCAAAGATTCAACATTATCAATCATGCGAGTAGTGACATTACGAATGATTAAACATCTCTTATTTCATATTATATGATTTAATAATTGCTACATTGGCGTGAATTATGTGTTTGGTAATTAATTTAGTTGTTTTTCAATTCTTTTAGAACGGCGGGGGATTCCCTGTACCAGATATTAGAGATTTCAAAAACTGCCACACCAGAGGAAGTTAAGAAGGCTTATAAAAAATTAGCATTAAAATATCATCCGGATAAAAATCCGAATAACCCAGAAGCTGCAGACAAGGTAATGGTAATTATGCAAGTGAGGGGGTCTACATCAACGATTTTGAAAACATTTAAATATGTTGCAAAACTTAACATTCTAAACAACCTTTTTCTGTACATGTAACCTAGTTTATTACTCAGACTTAACTTCCAAGACATTTACAAAAAATTACTGCTCCTACTACTAAGCAGAAGCAGCAGCAATTTTTCACGAATATCATGGAAATAAAGCTTGAGTAACGATTAAATATATAGGAAGAAGTTGTTTAAAACGTTGAGTTTTACAACATATTAACCCTTTTAATGCCAGGTCCACCTACACGGTACATGCGAAGACTGCCACGGTCGATTTGATATGTATGCTTCAACTTTTATTAAGAGTCAGCACATGGAAGATGGAAGAGAAAACAACTCATGAACTTCCAGACCAAAGATTAATACGAAACTTGAGATCAGAAATAAGAATTAAATCTAAACGAAAGAGATCTGATGTTTATAGCAGCGGAAATTTGATCTTAGATGCATGGGGCCGATACATTGACCTGTGGTAGTTCTTGCATAGGTGCCGAGGGCTGATATATCGGCCCGCTGGTAATAAAAGGGTTAAAAAATCATCGAAATCGGTGATGTGAACTCTCGGCTGTATGATAACCAAGGTAAATTATTAAAAGCTGTATTTGATCAGTATTTTATTAAGTATATGCTAAGTTGTAATAATGTATTGGTATAACTAAACTTATTAAGGTTCAGGAGCATTCTTTTTATGGGATCATAAATATAAATGCTTTGAGGCTTGTGGAGCATAACCATCTGAGAGTAGAATTGTCAAAAGTTCCTCTGTAGTCTCGAGTCTCGAGTTGTTCTGGAACCACAGTAGAGTTACTCTCAGAGAGCTACTCTTATAATACGAAACTGGTTCGTATTATGATGCGTTGTCGTCACGTTATATCGTAGCGATTATATTGTAGTTTATTATATAAAGAAATTGTGTGAGAAGGAAGAATGACTCGAAGGTGTTCTTAAATGGATACACCATTTGCGAGTATTCACAAGAGCAACTCGCGCGAGAAACTTTCAGAGGGACACACATATATTCTAAAATACTTTCAATGAAAAGTAATCTGATCTCATATCAACGCTCAATGATCGGGAATTCCGCTTTCTCTGGTCGGACATTAATTGTTCAAGTCTAATATTTTGAGTTTTGAAGATATTTTGAATTTAGACCACTTTTTCAACAATCTTATACTGAAATCATTTGTTCAATGTCTATTAATGTATATTTTCACTAATTGAATTATAGTGTGTAACTATTTCTGGCTTTGAATGCTGTTTTAGAGAATTCTTTATTATTATGCATTATACATAATAATATGTTTCTACATCTTTTTGCTAAGTTTTAACATAAACACAATTTTATGAAAATTATTATATTATGTATTTGTAAATTAAAAAGGAAGAAGGATGTGATAAAAACAGAACAATTTTTAGTCATTTCTGGAGGTATTTTAGTTTTATTATTTTTCAAGATTTCCATGGTTATATATTAACTTTTTTCTATAAGAAATAACATTTTTATTGCCTATATCATTTGCGTATTTTCTTAAATATGTATATAGGGTGTTAAAAAATGGTTCAAGAATCAACCCTTTCTGCTGATAATCGACTTTTAGTATCTAAGAATATTCGATAACGTGAGTGAGTTCCTTTACAATGTGACGCATAGAATGTAAGTAGAGAAATTTCAGGATTATTACGTTAGCAAGAATTAACAAGAATCCTTTCATAAATGCAAATTTAATACAAACTTATTTTGCTGTAGTAAATTTTGTTGTAGGTAGTTGATTGACAAATCGAGAGAAGAAGTCTAGTAGAATGGCTTTCTTGATTTGCTGATATAAATCCATTAGATTTTTTTTTACGAGAACTTTTAAAAACAATGGTCTATTCATCACCCATAATTAATATAGAAGAATTACGAGAAAAATAAGAAAATGTGTGTCAAACAATACAAGATTTGAATGGAATATTTGCAGATGTATATCGATCAATGCTTTGTGGTTGTGAACTTTGCATCGCAACAGAGGAAAGACACATGAAAAATTTACTATGACATAGAAGGTTTGTTTTACATTTATGAAAGAATCCTTGTTGATGCTTGTCTAATAGCATTATCACGTATTGGATGTTCATAGATATTAAAAGTCGATTTTCTGTCAGAAGGATTTACCTTTAAACTCATATTGATTGAATATTTTTTACTCCCCTTGGTGAATATTATAAATCCTCAAAGTCTTAAACCACTTTTTTTAAACACCCTGTATATGTAATGTTTTGTTATCAAATAGTATCTATATTTTTATTCCATATGTAGTAGACTTTGAATTTACCAAGAAGCAAATAATACTTGGTAGGGTCAAATTAACCAGAAGACTGTCAGAGTAACAAAAGTGTATATTTCGTACAAGAGAATACTTATACATACATCTTTCCTTGACTGATATATTCTTCATAAGACACTAACTTTTGTATAAATTGGATATCTTCTTTTGAAAACTCGTTGATTATTAAAAAGGTCAAATGGAGGTCAGGTCAAATGCACACTTCACAAGGTTGTCAAAGTTTGAAAAAATATAGTTTATATTTATAATATATTTCATTAAGTACACAATGTAAGGATTGTAAGATTAAAATATATAAGACTGAGTCATACATGAATGCATTTCAAATTAGGTAAGATTTGCTTAGAGCAGAATTAATTTGTTGTTAATCCAAATAGTTTATTAAGAATAAATTTAAAATTTCAATATTTGTGTNATTAAGTACACAATGTAAGGATTGTAAGATTAAAATATATAAGACTGAGTCATACATGAATGCATTTCAAATTAGGTAAGATTTGCTTAGAGCAGAATTAATTTGTTGTTAATCCAAATAGTTTATTAAGAATAAATTTAAAATTTCAATATTTGTGTTGAGCAC